TTTTATTACTCCCACAGTTCTTACTACTTTTTTTGAAGAGAGTAAAACCAAATGCAACATATCAGAACAGAGTCATTCAAATCAGAAGGATGTACATAATAGATAATGTAAAATCAAAATATAAGGTGATCAACAATGGTTACAGGGGCTGGGGATTTAGCTCAGCAGCATTAAGTGCCTGCCTTATAAGCACGCAGTCGTGAGTTTGATCCCTGGTACTGATAAAAAGGAAAAAAAACAAAAACAAAAAACCAGTGGTTACCATACTGCCTCTTGCTATTTTAAGAAGAATTGGCAGTTACAATAAAATTGAACTAAACAGTAAAGAATAAAACCAAAGCACTGGAGACAGTATAGGATTTTAAAAGAAAATAATAGTCAACTGGAATGGGAGTCATAATGTTTCTTATTGTCTTCACAGTTATGCCTATACTTTCGAACTTGGTACTATTAAGCAAAGCAGAATAGAGGAAAATAAGTCAAAACAAGATGGTGAGGGCAATGCAGGATTTCAAATCAAGTTAATAGGAAATGAAAGTAGGTTACTATAATGTATCCTGCGATTTTTTATCGATTTTTTCCTTAATTAAAAAAATAAAAAGAAAAAAGTAAATAATTAAAAAAAGGATTGAGATAAAAGAGGGCATAACAACAGAACAGTGCAGGTCAAAACATAACCATTTAAGCAAAACACATTTAAGTTTCACCACAAGATATCCTGACATAAAAATAGTTACCATAGTGTCTCTTTCCTTGAAATCTTGGAGTATAACTTCTTATACTGTAGTATCAAACATATCAAGACACTATAAAACCATTCCAGAGCATGACATTATTACAGGGTATTTAGAACCAATTAACAGAAAATGCACAATGATTTCTATATAAACTCCTTGTCTATAAAAATTTTTGCTTATATTATCATATATAATAAAATCCAATAAGATACAATCTTTTAAGACCAATGGAGACAGAAGAATAAAAGTTTTATGGGACTTCAAAACAAGATGATACTAAATCAGCACTAGCTATTATGATGTCTTGTTTTCTCCAAATTAGGTGTTCCTACCTTCTGATCTTTTCTGCCTCATTTCTTTTTTTTTTTTTTTTTTTTTTACACATCTTGGATTTTATTACTCCTTAGTGCTTATTACTTTCTTTGGGGGGGGTCTGCCTCATTTCTGTTGAGCTTTTTTTCTGTCGTTTGTTGTCAGTTTGTCTTCCTCATTTCGTTTTCTGCTCCATTCATTGTGGCCTCTCTGCCACTATTTCTGGAATCTTGGTATTTTCCTTTTTTAGACTATCCTGCAGTATTCTCCATAGAGTTGAATTAGTGGTTGCAAATTCCCCTACTTCCTCTTTATCCTGGAAGCACCTTGTTTTTCCATCAATTTCTAGGGACAGTTGTGCAGGATATATCAATCTTGGCTAGAGGTTATTATCTTTCAAAAGTTGAATTATTTCCCCCCACGCTCTTCGTGATTTGATGGTTTGTGCAGAGAAGTCTGCTGTAATTCTGATGGGTGTTCCCTTGTAAGTGATCTGTTTCTTGTCTCTGATGGCTTGTAGTATTCTGTTCTTATATTGGATTTCTGCAATTTTGATTATTATACACCTAGTTGTAGCTCTGTTTGGGTTGTAGGTGGCTGGGGTCCTGTATGCCTCATACATCTGAGTATCTTTACCTTTTGCTAAATTAGGGAAATTCTCTTGGATTATTTCTGTGAATAGATTTTGTAGTCCATTTGTTTGTGTCCCTACTTCTTCTTTTATGTTCTTAATTCTTAAGTTATAGATCCTCTTATCATCTACTAGCCCTTGTATTATTGCTGTTTGTTTTCTTATTTTTAAGAAGTTTTTCATTTCATGCTCCCTCCCATATTACAAATCTGCCCTCCAATTTAGATAATCTATCCTTAGTTTCTTTCAAGGTGTTATGCCAGTTTTCGATAGAATTTTTAGTTTCCTGGTAGTCTCTTTGAACCTGCTTCACATATTCTATGCTTTCTCTATTTTCTCCATCAAACAATTCTCCCCTCTTTTTCTGTACTTCCATTCCACCATCTGTTTTTTCTTGGGCGATGCTTAGCATTTCTCTAACTATTCTACTTATATCTTGCTTTATTTCGTTAAATACTTCATTTTGAAACTCGTCTATGAGTCTCTGGAGATATCGTCGATTATGTCTATTGGTGCGTGTCTGACATTGCATGTTTTCTGTCTTCCTTTGTGTTTTCCTTTCCTGGATCAGTGTTCTCAGGATTGGGGACTAAGGAGCCTTTCTTGTTGCTTCCTCTTCCCATACTTTTTGTTCCTTCCATACAAGCGAATGTAGGAGGCCCAATTTTTTTTTCTCTTTGTCAGTTACAGTTTGTGTGAATTGTGTTGGCTAGGTGTTCCCACCCTCTGCAGTGTACTAGGTAGACACAGAGCTCAGCAGCCTCTGCTGGGCCCACCCCTCCAGGTCAACCTAACAAAGGCTTCACTGCTAGGATGCACCTCCAGGCGCTGAGACCTGGTTTGGGCTGGCCTATGGGGTCTTAGTCAGTAGCATCATGCCGGCCAGGCACTCCCCACCAATCCCGCTTGAGAGGGGAATATGCAGCTGTCACTGTTCCGGCAAGTCTGCCCGGTCCCCATATGTCCTTTGCTGGAGCCTCCTACTATATGAAAGGGTCTGCGTTCCGCTCACTCCCTGCAAGTTCAATGTAGGGCTCCCTGCTTGTCCTGCTCTCAACTCCGTTCGCAGATTCCTGCTCCCAGAGCTTTTGCGCGTCTCTCTCTCTCTGCCCTGCAGATTTGGACGCAGCAGTGGCAGCAGGAAATTCAAATCACAGCTTCCAGTGGCGCAGGTTCTAGCTTCCAGCACTGAGATTTTATCTGTTCCTGTTATAGTACCAGGATTGGATTTCCAGTTGGTTTTTCTCAGCTTAGTTCATTCCTGGGTCAGAAGGATGTATCTCCCCTTGCTTGGGACTCCTTGTACCGCACCATTCCTGGATTTTAAGCAGGTATCTCAGAGAGCCTCCATAGCTGCTGCTATCAACCCGCCATGTTCTCCCGGAAGTCCATATATTGTTGATAGGCAAATAAATGGGAATATGATACAGCATAGATGGATAGAATAGTGATAAACAGATGCATAGAGGTATAGAGCAGTGGATAGATAATTATCTACTGCCATACCACCCTGAATGTGGCCGATCTTGTCTGATCTCGGAAGCTAAGCAGGGTCGGACCTCCTTAGTCCTTGGGAGACAACTGGGAATCTCAACAATGCCTAGAGGCAATAGAGACTGAAGATGCAGGATCCGTACCTTTTTCTATACAGAAACCCTAACATGAGCCTGTAGATATGCATGAAATCATGAAGTCCACAGAGCACATGGCAGGACACAGAGGTACAGGAGAACTGCAAAAAGATCGAAATTTGTATGAGTACAAAGTTGAAGCAGGAGGATAAGGATGCTGGGGCCCTCGCTGCCAGCCAAGACACAGCAAGAGGGGATCAGGGGTAAAGCAGTAGAAGGACAGGTCAAAGGTTTGAGATTTCATGGTGAGGTTCTGGGTCCATCTGTATCCATCTCAGAGCATCCCAGGGCACACTTACATTGCTAGCTTCTAGGGTTTCTATGTCTACAAAATTCCTGAGACTGTGTGACAGTCTGAGGAAGCTTCACTGCTAGGGAAGCGGAAAATCTTGGGCTCTTTCTTGCAGGTATCTTTGAGTCTGAAGCCCAGTAGTCAAAATATAAAAGATGATTCCTTGAGGGATGATGGGTTGTCCTGATTGTTCACTCCTGCTCTGCAGTGCATGGGATCATAAAACTTTCCTGCATGTCTCAATGACTGGTGATCAAAGACCCAACCTCTGAGATCAAATGGTTATGATGACAAAGTGACAGATTCTATCCCTGGGTTACACCTGGAGTGCAAGTGGTCGACTTCGTTATCACTGCATTTCAACTAAATCTGGTCCTCTCACTCCAGAGGAGGCATCTTTGTAACTACTTTTGGTGGATGTTTCCTGCATCTTCCTCCCGGGAATAGGGCCACAACTGTGCTCAGGGGTGTCAGATTATGTCCTGTGGAAATAATCCCTGGTCTCAGAGGATGGCTGTCTAGAGCAACCTGGAGCCCTTGCGCATGACAGTATGAGGTTCCCTTGAGCAGTATGGGATGAATCAGTTAATTTCATTGACTTATCAGTGAAACAGGCCTTATTTGCTTTTCAGAGTAAAAGTAACAGTACAAAAGCACTGAACTACATCTCCTAGTTTCCTATGTATTCTGAGATGGGGTCTGAGTTGCAGGTGTAGCCTCCATTTTAGTTTCCTCCTGCATCACAAGGAACAGAAAGAGTTTGTTTGTGGTAACATAATGGTAAAGAAATGTCCTCTGGATAAAATACCTTGTATTTTGAATATTTCATCACTGGCTGCAATGGCAAAAGCAATACCTTCTCTATATCTTCCAGGTGATGGAAAGAAGCAGATACGAGCCATAGGGATGTTAGCCATGTGTTCCAAAATATAAAGTAGTGACTTTGTATTGTGATATGTGTTACATTACATGAATTATTTCAGAGATAATGTAGACACAATTTTAGATGTTATCAATAAACTAGGGAGTCGTTTATGGATCTAAGCATAATTAATGCTAGAGTAAGTTATATAATCTTTACTGTATTGTGGGTATTTATTATTCATTTATATTTTTGTTATCACAGGTTGATCACTATACCCCATCAGAAATTGAGCACTGTTTGTATTCAAAAACAAATATTTTACAGAGTGTAAAATATTTCATTCTTAAATACAGAAGCGAAGCACAGCTCAAGGAGACCCATGGGCCTCATGCTCACAGCTTGGCAGGAACTGTGTTCATCGATTTCTCACATTTCTCAAACATCAAGCATTGGTCAAGATGGACACTGAAAAAGCAGATTTTATAAATTTATTCCTAAAGTTGATCAAACAAAACACAACATAAATCATAAATTAGTACACTTCCTCTTTTTATTAAACTGACTGGATTTTCCTTCATGGCATTATTTAATCTTCTTGTTAAACCAATTACCAAAATCAGTAGCATTGCCAGCATAAGTAATAGAATAAAGGAATTTGCCTTAACATAGCCAATAATAATTATTCTTCCAAAAACCTATATTCTTCCCAAAAAACTTCACTGTTGACAAGAGATTACTGTAACTTGTGATATCCACTTGTAGACAATGTTTCTGCTGATCTCTAGCATCAGAAACTCACAGCAGCATGCTTTATTTTATGGTAAAAGTGTTGGAAAAATTATCACAAGATTAAAAGTCATCGTAAGAGAAGCATGAAAAGTAAACTTTTGGTAAGAAAATGTAAAATTTTATATAAGATATAATATTCACTCCAACATCGAGGCAAACTAAGCAAAATTGTGTACTTGATATAATACACTATTATGCTGGGATATATGCAGGTGTCTTGTGAGGATAATACACGAGTTTTATGAAAACTGGTATCTGTCAAAAGCATGGTCACAATCTCTCCATCAAATATAACATCAAGTTCAAAAATAGTTTTTTTATACAGGATATGGAATATATGCAAAAACAAAAATTAAATCAAGGCTAGTAGACCATTCCCAACAATGGAAACCCAATTAAAATTTACTTTTAGTGGTCTATTTCTCCCAACTGTAAAAACAAAGCAAAATAATTACTACATAAATACTAATCGTATTTGGAAGTGAAAACTATATTTAAATTCACCTAGTTTAAATAAAGACACTGTAAAATGCAAAAACACTGGCATAAACAAAAATATGATTGCGTCAACTCAATTTTATTATATTAGAGACCCCAAATACCTAAACAAGTAATTTACTTTTTTTGTTGGTACTGGGGATCTAACATATGATCTTGTGCTTGCTACGCAGGCGCTTATGCTCCGCTCGGAGCATAAATCTCCTGCCCATCAGTAATTTACTGAGAAACAGAGAATGAATACACTTTAGGGTATCTCTTTTATGGAGTGTATTTTCTTGAATTTTATTAAGAAAATATTGACAACAAAATGTTTACATTATTTCTACAGGTCTCCATTACATAAGATGGATGTGGTAGTACACACCTGTAATCCCAGCACTGGGGAAACTGAGGCAGGAGGATCATTGCGAGTTCAAGACCAGCCTGAGCTACAAAGTGAGGTAAAGGCCAGTCTGAAGTCCATATTGAGACCCCCCTCTCAAAAGACAAGAAAAAAAAAAAAAAAAGCCAATCAATGTATGAGTAGTTTTCATAGGATATTCAAAATAGGCTTGCATGGAATTTCTCTCCAGTGTGACTTCATGTTTTTGACAGTACCCAAATATGCTAAAATCTTTCCTTTATTGCTAACTTCAGGCTTTCCGCCCAGTGTGACTTTATTCAACCATTTAAATGATAGCATTGTGTTTTCACACACATCTTACCATCATAAATTTATTGCAGTGTGAGTGCATCTCATCTTTCTCACTCTGCCTTCACATATATGGTTTGCCCCAGTATGCCATCTTCATGTATTTGAGGGCACTTTTCTGTTCTTTTTTTGTCTTTTTCATTTCCATTTTTACCGGTACCATGGATCGAACTCACGGCCGCCTGCTTGCAAGGCAGGTGCTTATGCCGCTGAGTTAAATTCCCAGCACCTGAGGGCACTTGTCAGTACTGAATGTTTCCTCACATTCCTTTCATACATAGGGTTTCTTCTGAGTGGATTCCTTCACGTCTTTGACAAGTATTCTGTTGGCTGAAGATTCCTCACATTACTGATTCACAGCTTTTCTTCAGTGTGACTTCTTGCATGTATGTGAAAAAATTTTTGTCTAGTGTATGTTTTCCCACATTGTTCACACACGTAGGTTTTCCTGTGTCTATTTCCACTGTGAATACTTTCATGTCTTCGACAGTGACTGAGTGTACTGAACGCTTTCCCACACTGCTTACATGCATAGGGCTTCTCTCCAGTGTGGGATCTTCTGTGCCTAGATAATGTGGACTTATCAGCAAACCCTTTTCCACAGTGCTTACATTCATAGGGTTTCTCTCCAGTGTGAATTCTTTCATGTACACGACAATTAGACTGTTGGTTGAAAGACTTTCCACATTGCTTACATACATAGGGTTTCTCCCCAGTATGAATTCTTTCATGTATGTGAAAATAATTCTGTGTGAATGCTTTCCCACACTGTTTGCACACATAATGTCTCTCCTCACTGTGAACTCTTTCATGTCTTTGACAATGACTGCGACTGTCGAATGCTTTCCCACATTGCGTACATACATAGGGTTTCTCACCAGTGTGGGATCTTGTATGTCTTTGATATTTGGAGTTGTAGGTAAATCTTTTTCCACAGTGCTTACATTCATAGGGTTTCTCTCCAGTATGAATTCTTTCATGTACACGACAATTAGTCCGTTGGTTGAAAGACTTTCCACATTGCTTACATGCATAGGGTTTCTCACCAGTGTGAATTCTTTCATGTACACGAAGGTTACCATTCTGCATGAAAGATTTTCCACACTGCTTACATACATAGGGTTTCTCCCCAGTGTGAGATTTTGTATGTCTACGATATTTGGGCTTATCACTGAATTGTTTTCTACATTGCTTTCCTACATAGGATTTCTCAGCTGTATGATTACTCTCATGTGTTTTATAGGACCTCTGTGTAATGAATGCTTTCCCACACTGGTTACATACATACAGTTTCTTCCCAGTGTGAATTCTTTTATGTCTATAAAAGGAATTACTATGAGCCAGTATTTTCATATATGCCTTAGATATATAAGCCTTCCCATTAACATGTTTTCTTTCATGTATTTGAATATGATATGAAGAAATGAAAGGTTTCCCACACTGCTCAAATAAATATTGATTCTCCCCACTATGATTTCTTTCATGCATTTGAACATCATGGGGTATGCTGGAGGCTTTTATACTTTTCTTACCTAAAAAGATCTTCTCTCTAGTGTCACTTGGTTCACTAGGGTCAGAGGAGACTTTCCTACAATGCTCATGTTGACAGCGTTTCTCTCCAAGTTTTCTCATTTCATGGATCTGAAAGAGTTGAGTATCAGTGCAGGGTTTTCTATTTCCACTGCATTTATACAGTTTCTCTTCAAATCCCAAATAATCATCTGGATTCAGTTGAGTGTGAGCCATGATAGGCACATTTAGGCTCCAATGCCCAATCATGGTCTTCCTACAAGCAAGGCTTTCACTTGGCTCTAAAGCATGTTGGCGCATGTCTGCATGAGTATCTGGAGTCCAAATACGTAATTCTTGTTGTTTCCAAGCTTTATATTGATAGCATTTTCCCACTTCATTTCTGTAATAAACAATGAAAAAAAATACAACAATAAAAATGGTCTTCAAATAAATTTACTAGGAGAAGTTCTAGTTTGACTCTTGCTAAGAAATTTCAACAATGAATTGACCTAATAGCTATGAGAGTGCCTGCAAAACATCAATTTCCAAAAAGATGGTATTTATTTGGATGGAAATTTTTCATTAGTATGTATCTGCAATATACAAGGTCTAGTTTCATTTAGGGGATGAGTTTTGCATATTGAGTCTTATATTTTGATGAATTGCAATACCTTTTCCATAATCTCTCCCATTCTCTCCTTAACCTGATCATCTTTCCTATTTCCAAAAGTAACTTTCAGTTTTCTATCATGTCTCTTTTAACGATTAGATTTTTTTTTTTAGTTTCTTATTTAAGAGAAAACATAACATATCACTTCCTGGTCTAATAATTTCCTAATACTATGGGATGGAGTGCCAACTATTTTTGTTTTTTGGCCAAATACATGATATTCTTTCATATACCTGAAAATATTGCACATTTTTTCTTTTTTGTTACTAGCCACTGAACTTATGCTTGCCAGGGAGATACTTGGCCACTGAGCTATATCCTGGGCTTAGCACATATTTTCTGGTCTGAGAATTAAACACAGATCTTAGCACTGAATTTCAATTCTAGAATTTTTTTCTTTTTTCTTTTGACAGATCCTCATGGATCATTAATTTCCTCTGCCTGAACATCAGGTTTTGATTCAGCTTCCCAGAGTGCAGGGATTACAAAATGTACTACCATGTAGAGCAGGCCCCACATTTCCATTTCGAGGCTTCTAGAGATGGGTGCCTGGGCTATTTCCAGAGCTCAACTAATGTGACTTGTATTCAGAGCTTAGCTACTGTGACTATTTATGGGAACCTTGCACTGATTGTAGGAACAAATCACCGTGATAAATAATTTCAACTCCTTTGTGAATATACCCAAGGAGTTAATTCAGGTTCAAACAGACACTTCTATTCTTACTTTGAGACATCTCTATGTTGATTATCACTATGGTTCTGGTTTATATTCTGACTGAAAATGTATGTGGGTACCTTGTATGAATTTTAAAACATGAGTGGAATAATCTCTAGGGAACTTTTTTTTTCCATCTTTTTCGTTTTTATCAGTAGCAGGGATCAAACTCACGACTGCCTGCTTGCAAGACAGGCGCTTATGCCACTGAGCTAAATCCCCAGCCCGTCTCGGGGAATGTTTTGAAAACAGTTATTATCACAATACTGGCATGCATTTACATTTTTTTTTTTTTTAAATTTTTATCGGGACCGGGGATCAAACTCACAACAACCTACTTGCAAGGCAGGCACTTATGCCACTGAGCTAAATACTTAGCCCCTTCATTTGCACTTTGAATACTGCTTCCATGCAGCTATTTCATAAGGAGAGTGGCACACTCATAATGTGTGTGGCACACACATAAATAGATACGTTGAATACGAGTTCTTTTCAGAAGTAAAAATTTTTTCTTTTTACATATTTCTATAAATACTATCAAAATGCTATATTGTACAATTCAATATTACTCATGAAAGAATTTTCTTATATTAACATGCCTGATAGTGATATTTCTTGCATAATATCAGTATTATCTCAGTTTCCTATATTGGAATATTTCTGTGTTCAATTTTAAGATTATAAAGAATCATATTTACCCATTGCCAAAGAATTTTTGAGTGATTAATTTCAACATGGCCTCATTTATAACATTTCTGCTCACAAATTGACTCTTGAGGAACATTTTTTTCTAAGTGCAAGTTACCTTAGAGTCTTTGAACAATTTTTGTACTCTTGTCCAATTTGCTGGTTATCCCACGTTCTTCCTGAATCACAGACAGAAAAATACAGAAGTCACTTTATCACTATATAAAAATGAACAGATTCTGGTTAGATTCATGGTGTAATGAATCTAACCTAAGACAGTCTGCAAAATGCTTCCATGTTCTATTTAATTAAACTGCAGAAATGAACGAGCACAAAGCTCTCTGAGTGTAGTAATGAGAAAAATGCTGTCATCTTTACCTACAGCAGCCATGTTCCTAAATGTTTCCAACATCACATCTCTGTAGAGCTTCTTCTGTGATGGATTCAGCAGAGCCCACTCTTCTGGGGTGAAGTTCACAGCCACATCCTCAAAGGTCACTGCCTCCTAAATAATCATACAGTTACCACAAAGAACGTTGAGACTCACAGCCTGAGTTACCTCAAATCTTCTTATAAAACCTGAATCAAAATCGATTCCTTCAAATAGTGATTCCATGTACCGGTCACGAAAACCATGTACATGCAGATATTTGCACAGAGCAATTCGGATGCAATTATTAAAGTAAATGTACAATAATTGCACGGGTCCCATGCAGGGTCACCCAAAATGCTTATGTGCACTGCCTTTAAAGTGGATCTTAGAGGAAGCCTTCAAATCACCATCCACAAAGCACAGGAACAGATAAATATCTCGTGAATGGCATTGATACACCATAGATTATCTATCTCTTTTCAAATTTGATTACTCATAGAATTGAGCCCACCTTTTTTTCTACTTAGGCAGCATTTGGAAACTCAAATCACGTTTCATTGAAAAAAACTTAAACATTAAATAATCTTTATAAGTAATCATTAAAATGCTAATGGATACACTTCTATTGGCACAAGTCTATGGACGATAATGGAATGATAAAAAATAGTAGAATGAAGCTGGGCATGGTAGCTCATGCCTGTAATACTAGCACTTGGCAGGCTGAGGCAGGAGGATCACTGTGAGTTCAAGACCAGCCTAGGCTACAAACTGAGCTCAAGGCCAGCCTGAAAAGCATAGTGAGACCCTGTCTCAAAAAGCCAAAAAAAAAAAAAAAAAAGTAGAATGATGGAGAATAGTCGATAGTACTCTCTGTTAAAGTTCATAAGAACAAATGAGCACCTCACACGCACGTGAAAGTAATTAAACGATGGTGAAATGGAAGGTAACGAGAAGAATATGATTAAAAATGTAGTTAATCCAAATTCTAGGAGAGTAAACAAGTACTCTGTTCTATGGGTCTCTTCTTTATGAAGCAAAGTACGTAAAAGCTGTCATAAAAGAGAAACAAGTAAGATGGTTTCGATATTGTACAGTAGTGGGAATCAAGATTGGGATCAATGGATTTCAGAAAGAAGACTATTCTGGGAGATGGGCACCAATCTGCAGAAACAGCAAGAACTTCACAAAGCTAGTCGGGAACACTGTGCAGAGGGAAAGGTGAGAGGGCTGCTCCAGGAAAGAAGACATCTGGTCTGCAACAGAAAAATGTTGATGTGAAAACAAAAAGGAACAAACAAAATTGCTGGTAATGGAAGTGGTGGCAGTACCAATAAGACAGCAGTGAGACATCTCAGCGTCCTCAAAGCAGAGGGCCTGGGAAGATGCTATTCCTGAAAGTGAAGAAACACTTATGAACAGGGTGGGAATTAAAGTGAAGATTTCTGACACCATGACTTACTAATGACCGAGACTTAATTAGTGGACAGGAACAGCTATTCATCTTCCTACCAAGAGGAATGTGCGTTCACTTATGGGAGACTATGCGAAGTATAAGAAATCTCCATGAGACAGGGAACATCCTGTCAATGAGTCTGTAGCAGGGATCAAAGAATGCTTCAGTGTGACGCTCAGCACACTCAGCTCCTCAAAAACTTGAGCAACTACGTGCCCTGAGATCCTTGCCAATCACCCTGATGTGTGCCAAGTCTCAGATGTATGGAGCACAACATTTTTTTTTCCCTCTCTTTTTTAGATTTCTTGAGAGAAGCACCACATTTTCTGAGATTATTCATGTGTTTGATTTCAGAGAAAGTGAAATAAAGGGGTTATAGCTCCTTCTTTTTTCTTTTCAGGTGAAAGTTGCTGCCAGGATATTTATTGAAGACCAACAGTGAGACAAGGCATACAGTGTTTTTTTGCCCAGTTGACAAAGTTTCCTTTGAATCCTGATGATTTTCTTTGACATCGTATACTTTTAGAATATGTGTTAGTACTATATGACCAAATGCTCTGCATCCTAGTGTCGAAGTCCAATTCACTGGCTTCATACTGTCTTGATATGTTTTCTGCTATAGTATACGAAGTTATACTCAAATAATTCAAGGAAAGAGACACTATGGTGACTACTATTATGTCGGGTTATCTGGTGGTGAAACACAATGATGCTTAAATTGTTCGGTTGTGACCTGTGTTGTTCTGTTACTATGTCCGCTTTTATCTCAATCTCCCCCTTTGCTCTTTTTTTAAAAAATTAATTTATTTTTTATTTTTTTAAATAAGGGGAAACTAAATTTAAAAATAGCGGGATATAGTATAGTAACTTTTTTGGTTTCCTATTAACCTGATTTGAATCCCTGTTTTGCTCTCCCCATCTTGCTCTGACTGATTTTACTATATTCTGTTTTGTTTGATAGAATCAAGTTTGAGGGTATAGGCAACCACTTTGAAGGCAATAAGGTTTACTATGATGCCCATTATGGTTTGACTATTATCTTCTTTTGAAGTCCTGTAAGGTCTCCAATGTAGGTTTTATTGGTCTTGTTCTGTATCATTTTGTTCAATTCTATTACACCTGATGATATAGGCAACTCTTTTTAAGATAGCAAGAGGCATAATGGTAACCATTGTTGATCACCTGGTATTGTTTTTGCATCATGTACTATGTCCATCCTTCTGTTCTAACTCTATTTTGCTTTGTCACATTTGAGTTATTTTTGTTTTTCTTTTTTCTTCAAAAAAAAAAAAAAGGTATAAGAATTGAGGGAGTAATAAAACCCAAAAAGTATAATTGTTATTGTAAAAAAGAGAGGAAAAGAAAGTGGTCTAAAGGATATAACTGCATGTATATTTAAGTGTGTGGATAGAAAACCATATTACTGAGTTTTTATTGGTTCATTGAACAAAACTGTCTGCAATTTCACTGTATGAATGTCTAGTTTGTATGTTTTAATTTTGTAATTTGGACAACGGTTTTTAAGATGACAATATGTAACCTATTAACTAGTGCTTTCTTTTTGCTTTTTTTTTTTTTTTAACTTTTTGTCGGTACCAGGGATCGAAGTCACGACCGCCTGCTTGCAAGGCAGGTGCTTATGCCGCTAAGCTAAATCCCCAGACCCTGTGATTGCTTACTGTATATTATTTTCTTGAAATTCTGTATTACGTGTACCCTTTTGCTGCTTTTTGTTTCGTCTTTAAAAAAAAAAAAGTCCAATTCACTGTATATAATGAAATACGCTCACCAACTTGTGCACTTTTATTTTTTTAAATGGTGCTAAAAGAACCCATTCTTTGCAAGTTATCCATGTTGTTCTTTAGGCATTTTATCTTTGCACATATTTAGGCATTTTATCTTTGAACATATTGCTGAAGAAAGGTCAATAATTTCACTGTTTTTCTATATGTGTACAATGTACATTTTAACGTGATAGGCACAACGCACTAGGTAACTACAATTTTCTGGAAACATCAATCAGTAGTTGCTTTTCAGATTTTCAACACATTATTTCTTTAAATACAAAAGAAAATTCATTCAAAATCAAGAAGGCATAAAGTAATCACGCCATGATTACAAAGCCAAACTTTAACCAGGCATGGTGGTACTGATTTCCCAGTACTTTGGAGGCTTAGTAAGGCAAACATCAAAGAGTTTGAGATTATCATGATTTCATTGTTCACACTAGGCTATGCAGTACGTACAAGGCCAGTGTAAATTACAAAGTGAGATCCTGCCTCAGTTTCTTGTGCAGTATCATAAAAGACTAAAAGCATTTAATACCTTGTGAGCAAGGTGATTATCCTGCATGATATACATGAAATACATTCAAATTGTACCTTTCAAATCAGTGTATGATTCTACTAATTATATAAGACAAATGAGTCTTATGAAACAGGCAGTCTTCAGTGGATCCAGAAGTAAACAGATTATTGATTTTTGATACAATTGGACTTTCACATCCATGGAAGAAATCACAATGTATTCTATTTATATTTGTAGGAACAGGTATGTGCCTGCAATCTAGACTCTACAGCCATCTAACCTGTGTACACAGGTTATATATTGAAATAAACATACAGATTTTTAAAAAAAAGTGTTTCCACAAAAGAAACTCAAGTAGCTAAGTAGGAAAAATTGGTATTTGTGAAAGCATGGAAAATAAAAGTAACAAAAAGAAAATATTTACAGTGTACACAATATGAAGATTTTCTACACAGAAGTAGATATTTATGGATACAAGTCTAAAAAGTAAGGACAATATAGCTCACTGAAGACAAACTCTGAATATAAAATAAGATGTAAATCTAATTTGAGAAAATCACCAAAGAAAATTGTCAGGTGAAAAAACTCAGTAATTTGGCTTATGCAAAAACGGAAAATCAACCCATACACTCCAAGCTCATCTCATTTACTTTAGTTCTTACTAAATCCTAAAGAAAAGTGAGTTCTTTCCAATTCCCAGGGAAAATACTGTGATATTATTTCTGGAGTTAAATACAATTCTTTTCAAGTAAATCTGAAAAATCCTGAACCACATAACAATGCAATGGATGAGAAAGTACTTTGGAAATGATTTACATATCAGCACTTGTGAACAGAGACCATAAATAAATAAATAAATAAATAAATAAATAAAATCCCAAGATGTTTCTCAGTGAAATTTCTGTAACACTTATTGCCCAGTTCAGAATGTTTTCCAGTGTGTGTTAACAGTCAACCCTTTCAGGAAAGAGTCCTTAGCACCTCTGCATCTTTTTTTTTGTTTTGTTTTGTTTTTTTGAGACAGGGTCTCTCTATGCAGTTCAGGCTGGCCTTGAGCTCACTCTGTAGCCCAGGCTGGTCTTGAACTTCCAGTGATTCTCCTGTTTTAACCCCCACTCTCCGCTCAACCTCTGCATCTTTCTCAGCATTCTAAATTCTATGCAAAGTCTCACTGCAACAGTAAAATGTTAAGAACACTTTATTTAGTTAGCTCATAAAAAGGTACCTCGGAGCTGGGGATTTATCTCAGTGGCATAAGCACCTGCCTTTCAAGCAGCGTTCATGAGTTTGATTCCTAGTACCAATAAAAAGATTAAAAAAAAAAAAAGACACCTCTATAGAGAAAGTGCTTGAAGTAGAGTTGGGAAATTAACAGTTCCATAAGAATTAAAATGAGAGTACACAATGACCTAGGATTTACAACTGAAGGTGAACTTTCTGTGTCAAGGAACAATGCAGACTTCCCCCAACTAAAAAAAGTTACAGACAACCCCTACTAAGCTCCTGACTTTCTAGGACTGTGACTTACACAATACCCAATTTTTCTCTAAAACCTATTTCCTTTAAACCCTGCAAGCTGAGCAAATGGTTAAAGAGCTTGATTAAAGTGTTTGCGCTGGCATGAAGGTTGACACTAGAACTCCAACCTCTTCAGAAGCTGAAGCAGTTGAACTGCCAACAGTTCAAAAACTGGTTGAGAGTTCGAGACCAGTCTGGGCTACAAAGTGAGCTCAAGGCCAGCCTGAATTGTAGAGCAACCAATCTGTCTCAAAAAGACAAGACACAAAACAACCTAGCTCACCTAGGGATTTAGATCAGCAGCACAAGAACCTGCCTGGCAAGCTTAAGGTCGTTAAGTTCTATCCCCGGTCCCAAAAAAGAAAAAGTGTTTTAAACTTACAGAGCCATGTGTAACACGTGGCCACTGAACAACTGAACTGAGTAACTGCTCTGCTCTGCTTGTTTATAACTCACTCTGTACTGAGCGCCCACAAGGGCACCCACTTGGGGCGCTTCCTGGAATTCAGGGAGCTACTCTTATTTCCAATAAAATCTCTCCTAACGTCCTTTGTTCGTTCGAAAATTCATTCTTTAATGTGAGGTTATTAACTCTGCTTATGCAGTAGCAACACTGCGAGCGGAGGTCCGCCGTAACAATTGTAGTGATAACTTTCTCAGTGCGGACGGTGGAGCCCGCTTCCCGCCAAACCACCGCTCCGGTCAGCTTGGTAGAGCCACAGTCGTGCTGGGGACGCCCAGGATTGGATACTGGCTTGGTGCCAAAGTGGGGACAGCGTGCTGGGGAGCCAGAAATGTTCCTACTGAGCAGTCGGAAACAGGAACAGATGATAAATCAGCGACAAAGATCTACCGAATCCTAGGTTCTGGGGCTAAGCAGGGAGGCTATCGGTTGACACAGTAGCTTCTGAGTACTTCAGTCCAGTGCTCACACAATTCCCGCGTATCCCAGCCCTCGTCCCACACATCACCATTGCGAGGCTTGGGGTCTATGGGGTCCTCTGCACGCAGCCTGCAGTACGTGTGAGTCAAGGAAACGGAGGTGACGCCGCCGGGGCGCTCAGCAATCCACTCAGGCGGGAACGTGCCTGCCAAGACACAGGAAGTGCCCATCCCCTCGGCCTCCTGATTGGGCGCGTCTGCCAGGCCCCGCCCTCATCGCCGACTGGCTGCTGCGCATTTGGCCACCAACTCCAGTTTGAAGTTAAATAAACTTCTTCCAACTGGAGTAGAGATCCTGTGATAGCCTGGAACTTGTAGTTTAGTCTCTCTCTTTAGATGTCAGCCACACAGCACCGGAAGAATATTGCATGTAAGGGCTACCATTCTTGGCTTTTGAAAAATACCCTGTCTTTCTTAATGGACGATGTGAGCTCTTCCTGAAAGTACATCACAAATGTGATTAGAGGGTTGCAGGGCAAATGTCCTGTGATGACGAAAAACACGGAGTCCAGGTCAGCCCAGGACAAAGTTGAATGCAGTGGGGACTGCTGTTGCGAATCAGGTGGTACATTTCAATGCCAGGAATTTCACACTCTCATTCTACTCATTTTAATTCAAAAAATGAATTTATGGACTGCAAAAAGAATGCAACTGTTCTGTAAAAGAAGAAAGTAAAAATAAAGATAGCAAATTTCTATGAAACAGTAAAAGGTAAAAGAAAGATTAACATTTTAACTCTGCCAGACAAGGATCATACTCTATCCAGGCGTTTCATAAAACATACCTTAGTTGTGAATGTAACCATAGCCAAGAGTGAGTGCCAGAATGATTGCTGAAATAGGACCCCACATTTGATCCACTTCCCGGTAGCACCACTGGGAGACAAAAGGAATTTAGACTGTAAGCACAAACTTGTGATTTTAATACTAAATTTATTGAGACACCATGAGAATAATTCAAGTTAACTTTGGTCTCTATTATTAGAAGAGATGACCAAAATGGTGGCCATTCATTCCAAATATACTGAAATTGAAAATATGATTTTCAATCTCCTGCAGTGTATATACATGTTTTTATTCTCTCATATATATATATATAAAAAATATACGTGTGTATATATATATATATATATATATATATATATATATATACATATAAGTAGAATCAGATATTTACTCTGAATCTAGCTTCACTATATTAATGCATTAGTCCATTTCTTAAATGTAAAATTGACTTGGTTTCTAAGGTTCTGCTGGGGACCACAAATTCACAATGACTAATTTTTCATACTTCGTACCCTATGAGATAAAATGGAAATTCATATTGTGGTACCACCAATGTGAGATTTCCCATTGACTCTTCTAAGCATAAGACCATCTACCCCCTCTTGAGTCATCCCAGGATTATACTCCAGGACAAGATCCTTCTTAGCATGTGATCATCTACACCCTTTTGAATCTTAGTCTTCTGATGAGCTGTAATTCTTGCCTGCCCCACCTATCACTGTATACAACTAATAAATGGTGGCTGCTTAGGGTGTGGAGGAGGATCCATCCAGAGACATTGATTTCTCAGCCACTGATGCATTACCATAGGTTTCTGTCTTTTATTTTTGACACTGTACTGTTAAAGCAGACAATCAGGACTCTTGGCTGGGCTCTCAGTAAGGTTCCTTTTAAACAACTCATAAAATTTACATCTAAAATATGGACAGGATGAAAGAAAACCTAATGCAACTCACTTAGAAATTCACAGGTAGCCAGTGGCACTTGCGATGAGAGCCTAGGCCCTGGCACAAATTCCAGGGGAATGGCCTCTTAGTGAAGCAGCCAGGAACAAAGACCTTCAGGTATCTGACTTTGCACCCAGTACCTTTTCACAAGTTAGCTGTCTGTCCCTCCTTTCTTTTCTGACTTCGAAATAATGTGTTTTCATTTTCCTTTTAAATGGTTATCTCTAAGCCCTTATTGTTAGGGAATTTCCAATTTCTGATTGGCTGTGGTGATGCAATATAATGAAGCTGCCTGATGTGACAGCATCATGTGTAAATCCCACCTTCTTTCTTTCTTCCTTTTTTTTTTAACTTTCATTTCTGGATAAACCGGGGAACACTTTTTTTTTTAAATTGGTACCGGGGATCGAACTCATGACTGTGCACTTGCAAGGCAGGCACTTATGCCGCTGAGCTTATTTCCCAGCCCCTAGGGAGCTTTTTAATACTTCTTTACTTTGAATAAAAAAAACTCTTCCAACATCTTCTCTTTGGTACACAACTTCATTCTTTTACCTTGTAAGACTGCAGTCTTTGTGCAGAATTACCAGTTCTAATATTTTTTCTGTGTAGTGATTGTATTTTGCCTATAAATAATGCCATCTATTTCACAAATGAGCTAATCACCATGGCTCAAACTAGAGACTTGCATAAAATATGCTGCCAAAAATTGTAAATTTTTTATTGTACCTCTAACCAGTTTAAATAAGATGGGTCAAGTTCATGAATTTCTCTTTCCAAGGATCAAGCTTCTGACCTCTCTGAGCACCTAATTCAGTAGCAGTTTCCACATGAAATCTTGTAAAGGTTGACTTGTGCATTCCCTCCTTGACATCCTCCGTGAGGCACAGGCACTTAATCAGATTTACTACTATATAAATGCTTTTGGTAATGCCCATTGAGTTCTGAGTAGTCTCATACCTATGAGAAAAGATGGCATCTGAACTTGTGTCCTTTTCCATTTGCATTACTTTCTTGTCCCTGTGACAAAATATTTGAAATCTTCAATTGGAACTTTTATTTGAGATGTATACATTCTAAATTTCAAATCATGGTAGGAATGCAAGGCAGAACACTGCTTCTTTCCTCTTATTGATCAAGAAGTAGATGAAGAGGTGAGGGAGCTACATCCAAGCAGAAAAAGCCACAGACAAAGGTATAATCCACATGGCCACACTCCAAAGCTCTAATTCTCAAGTAAGATTACAAGTACTATTAGACCATGGAACTCTGACTCCTTGAATTACTCATTTATTTTTCTGGGGTTTCATTTTTCCTTTTCTTTCTTTTTTCTTTTTTGGTACTAGGTATTAATCTCTTAACCTCATGCTAGCCAGACAGGCACTTACAGCACTGAGCTAAATCCCGGGTCCCTCTTTCTTTCTTTCAAGTCAAGGTCTCACGCTGTACATCAGGCTGACCTAGAACTGTATGCAGCAAGGACTCGATTTGAACTCGAGGTCCTCCTGTCTCGGCATCCTGAGTGCTGGGAAACACATATGTGAGGATCTCTCCAATTAACAGTATAAACCAGTGAAAAATGTGTGTCTTAGTCATCTCTTTAGATGCCACTTCTAAATATTGCTGCACTAATATTCAAGATTTACATGCAAGCTCTTTACAGTTAGGATGCTAAGACAGCCAAAGGATGACAAGAAGCCCTGCATCTATTCTTGGGCTCCATCTGGACCCTTGCTGGTCCCGAGTTGCCCTGCACAAGATCCTGCACTGGCTTACATCAGGATCCTCTGACTGTCCCTTGCACAGTAATGCACTGCCATTTCCGCTCTGAGGCTGTTCATTTGCAAAGATAACATGGTTTTGGCATTGTCTTTAGTGGTAGTGAATCACAACCTTTCCAGGCCTCTCCATACTTTGTCCTACCACCAGTCTTATTATGTACAACTGTCCCTCAAGCCCTTCCCTGAAGTCTGGTGGACTCAGTCCATGTTAGCTACTGAAGATGAATTCTGAGGCTACATAGGGAGGCTCACAGACACCCAGACCGCATAAAGCTGACCCCAGACTCCACCACCTGCCCCTCACACTGGACAACTTCAATCCAGAGATATCCTGCTCAGGAAACCATCACACATGGCAATGGTTTATTCCACACATGCGGATTCTCACACTCAATATCTTCTGTTCTTTGCTAATCACATTTTAAAACAACCAAAAGGAAAACCCAGCTCACTCCAAAGTCCATGGTGAGCTGTCTGTACTCAGTCCTGATCCCCAAGTGGAAACATCTGGACATCGAGAGGGGTGGGCTCCTCTCCAGAGCTGCAGCATCAGGTCTCAGCTGGTTTTCCTCTGTGGAGTGAAGCGCTGTTTTCATGGCCTCTTGCTCTATAACAAATTCTGGTATTGAATTTCTCAGAATGTTAGCACCAGGACAATTTATTAACACTGATATTATTTAATTGAGTATAATTTCTCATTATGGGCTAGCATCATTTTCTTTTTTTTGAGCCAAGGTCTCACTACATAGGCAACACTAGCCTTGAATTCATGGTAATCCTCCTGCCTCAGCTTCCCAGGTGATGGCTGTATTGGTGAGCACCACAACACCTACGGTCTAAGCTCTTTCCATTATATGAGCACACACAGCTTTATATCTTGCTTCATGGTACACAACTCATGTTTTTTGTATGAAAATTGTCTGCTTTGGAAATATAAAAATATGAAAATACAAAGGTTGAGTTTTCTATACAGGAACTAATGTCCTGCAAATGTTACCCCCGGTAGCTACTGGTGAAGTTGGCAAATTCCTCTTCCTACAGGAAGGCTATGTGTGATTTATTTGCATTCTACTGATTGCAGAAAAAAGAGAGACCAGGTATTCAGGCGGATGCCTGCTAAAGATAAACTCTTGGATTTCAATGAATATGGTGGAATGGTCAGCAGCAGAAAAACACCTTCTCCTAGGTGTAGTGTCCAGACTGTGGGCTACATGAGAAAAAAAAAGGAAGGAGGTGGGTCCCTGGATGCAGGAAGAAAGTGAAGTGAGATTTAAAGCTAAGGAGAGCAAAGAGAGAGACTTCAACAAAAAAGAAGAAAATGCAGGTTGCACTTTCTCCCTGAGCTTGGACTTGATATGTGGGAGGGGCGGCTCCTCGTGAAGATGCTTAGTGACAACTAATGACCCCAGAAGCTTCCACAGAGAGACACCAGTGGAATGGAACAGAGGTCACAGTGGAGTCAAATGGCTGGTGAGTTTTTCTGCTTTCAGGGTCCTCAAAGAGAGATAAACTGGCTGGGAAACATCTCAGAATGGGGCCAGCCACATTAGAACTCAGAGCCACTACTGACTCCAGGTAGTAACTCTGGTATCAGGGTCAGGACCCTAAATGCAAACTGGCAGGAGGTCAGGGAGCTGAGATCAAACCAGGATAAAGCTGAGTGGCACACAGTCTACTTCAGGCTGAACAGGTCTGGTTCTACACTCATGGCCAGAAATAAGCCTGAAATTCAGTGCAGCAAGAATTGCAGCCTTGCTGGGATTATTCATTACATGGCTCTCAAATTAAAGCTAGCTTGCTGCAATTAATCTACTCAGATCTGGACCGTCTGGCCACACTGTCAGCCTGTGACAACAGAGACCACTTGCCACTCCACCATTTCCTGGGTCCTACACTATTCTCACTTATCTTTTGCTTCTTATTTTTTCTTAATGATTGAGCTGCTGATAAGTGTACACACTCAGTGTTTCCTCCAATTTCTACATTTTTTCAAAAAAAATCATGTC